TATATATATATATATATATAGTGTAAACTTTTCACGTTTTCAGCGCGTTCATATTGCTTGCTAGAGTCATCGGAAGCGCGAAACCTCGCTTATCTTCTTTCATCCACGATGCACGAGTTTTTGCATTGCACCAAGTGATTTTCAGATTTTCGTATCCACTGTCCGATAATTTGTATCCACTCTAACCTGCCACCGTATAGTCGTTACTATGAGTTCCGAGAGAAAAGAAAAAAAAATACTAAACTTACGTTGTAAAGCAGAATGGTCCCGAGTCTTCGACCACACGTTCCCGGCGGAAACTATCAAAAAGGTACTCTGAAAGGTGTACTTTGCCTACGTGGTAGACTCCGCCGGATTTTGTAAGCTTCGTAACGGTAGAGTGTCTCTTGTAACGAAAGATAATACTTCGTATATATCGCAGGGACTTCCGTGCTGCTCTGTGTCTCTAATGTTTCTATATAGTACAAATGAACACAACACTTGTGTGACACTTGCTTCTTTTGTACTTTACTATGAACGTCCGTCGCATAATTTTATAGCAGGATCACCGCGATAGTCACGTTTTATACAAATGATATTTTATCCTCCTAACTCTCACCACTTAAAACTCTCCACAGGTGACCGGCTGTGGCAGAACGATACATTTATGTTCCTCTCTTCTCGCTTCTCATCCTTTCTCGAATGCTGTGTATACCGTAGAATAGGCTCGAGCGTAATTTCCTTTAATAGGTAGAAACTATCTTCGCGCGTTCATACAGAGAGAAAATGATTTGATTATAGAGTAAAAGTATAGTAGAGATTTCGTGTCTCTCTAGTTGGAGAAGCAGGATGTCTTCAGATTCTTCAATGTCTAGTAGAGTCTTTGAGAGAACACTGAATCTTAAATGGTGTACTCGTAAACCGTACTTGCTTCTTGATAAACTCCTCCGACTACACGACGGCTGTACTCGGCGTTACTGTACACTCTGTTTTTCAGTCACTGACATTGAAAGTATATATAGTTATCCCGAACTCTCTGACGATCACAGAATGCTTGGAATATTCCACATATGTGTGTTGTACATATATATAGATATGCATACAGACACATACATATACACACATACACAACACATAAAAACAACACATACATACAAACGTGTACACATCGCGTGTATATATACGCGCTTTTACATACAAAGCTGCTATTATTTTCGTCGTAAGTTTAACGCTGGATATCCGATCGTGTCCAATATTGGATTTAGCGATGTAACGGAAATTGCGTTTAGCGACCGGGTTTAGCGTTAAATGTCCGAAAGAGCAGAGTGTTTATTATAATTATGGTGTGTGCATGGAAGCGATTGTTATTTATTTTGAGTGACGTTAACGCCAGGCGTTACGTGTATGCAGATTAGTAAATACAATTATTTACATATTGCTCTTTCTTTTCTCCGTTGATCTTTTTAAGTTATAATAATCAAATTTTAAGATATAAGTTGATAATCATTAAGCCAACGCGACGTGACGCCCGCAATAACGAAGCGCACCGGGTGATACGAAAAGAAACCGCGATACGGAAAAAACAAAATCCGCCGTCACGATTACATTTTTTCCCCAGACGTTTCGTGCCTTCGTATTCGAATTTTTGATAGGGAAATTAATGTGCTAGGAGACTAACATACCAGATGATAGTGTCACCATTATTATTTATTGAGCTCGAAGCATCTCTCTCATCTCGTAAAAGTGGAATGGTCTCTCTTTCACACACACACATACACACACGCGCGCGCAGAAGACAAATCTGTGATCCTTCTCGGATTCGAGGCGGTTTTGTTCTACTCCTCCCAACAAGCGACAAATGTGTGCCGTTAAACGTCGTGTCGTTTTAGGATTTTCAAGCGAGAAAAAGGAAGGCGCAGCGGCGGATGTTCGGAACGCGACTCGGTCGGCGGCGACCCGCGCGCGCGATTATATTATTATATTATACAATGTAAATATAGCGAATTGAAGAAGTATTGCCGTAAATCAAATCACGTCGTGCCCGAGGGGGTCCCCGCGCGGTTCCGAGATCCGAGATCTCCCTGGCCTTACCTGTGACCAATCAACAAAGATATCACGACGCGTTAGTAGTGCACATACCTTATAACGAATTAACCGTAGACGAGAAGCGTTAATGTTAATTTAACGAATTAATCATATATCGTCCCCCTACCGCTTTTCTTTTTCTCCGTCGACGTTCTCCAGACTCCAGTTATATTAATATTTAATATACGCAATTGCGACTTAGCTAAATGTTCCGCGACTCGAGCGTACGTCGATTGAGTGGATCTCTTTACTGGGAGTTGTCGGTTTTATTTCTCATGTATCGACTAAAGAAAGGTAAAAGGAAAGGAAACCACGCACGGTGGTCGTCGACACAGTCCGTCGCTCTCTCTCTGCGATTCCGTGTAGAAAATCGACCGCAGTCTCTTTCCCTCGCACTATCTGGCTTTTACTTTTTACAATTATATGACGTGCACGATATATTGTAAAAGGTAAGGAGGAATCGCGGTGCGGAGCCGCGATGCGACATTGTAACAAAGAGAGGCGCGCGCGCGCGCGTACGTGCGCATATATATATAAATATGATATAGAAAGAACAAAGAGAGAGGGAGAGAAAGGAGCGAAAGAGCGAGCAAATGGCCACATGTGTGCATGTGTAATTAGAGTTCTGCGAGTTTGTCAAATTGCCACATGCTGTTATAAAAAAATATAAATATAAATAATATATATATATATATAAATATATAAATAGCAAAATAGATAAAACCGAGACCTGTATATTATAAGCTGAAGACAAATGTGACAAAAAACGTGTAGTGTATAGAGAGGAAGATGAAATATCTGCAAGTTTTAATTTATCATGATGAGTACGCTGACGATAAATGATTAATTATTAATAAATTACTGTATTTTATAATAGTACTTTTTTTAAATGAAAACACCTTTGTTTCCCGTTTATTCACAAGCATTTAAAATCTCATTTCTATAACATGCAACAAAATATAAATGTAATTTCTAATATATCCCTCCCCCTCCCCCCCAAAAATCGAAAGATTCTTCGTGTTTTGGAAAGATAAATATAATTAAATCTTTTTCTATTCTATATCACTTGGAAATATCTAGAATCTCTATTGCATTTTTACAGATACAAAGAGTATACAAAAAGCAGTACAAACAAGAGTTCAAAAATACCTCAGTCATATATTATCAATTCTTCATTTTCAGATATAAAAAAAATTCTGACAGAATCTTTTGTACCTGAAAATAAACTCAGAATTGATGACATACGAATATCATACCATAATATGACTGAATTAATATGAATGAATTCTTTTTGAGCTTGTGTGCTACCTGGATCATTATATTCATTATTAAATCACAGAGTTACAAGAGAAAAATGAATGTATTACATACATTGCGATATTTCGTAATTATTATATATTCAAGTTTCTTAATTATCTTAAAAGCTCATACATATATACATGTATCTCATATAATATTATCTGTTTATTGATATTACTTCCCGTGTTTATTTACCAAACCTAAAAATATTTCGTTATCTCGTTTACGAGGAATAAAAAAAAGAAAAACATATACATGTTTGATTCCGTTTAAAAATGCACTTTATCTCGGATTAATTATCGACGCAAAGTCCACGTAGTTCGATCGCGCAACGATAAGAGCATGCAGCGGCTGATGCAGCATTATCGCTCTGTCGCGTGCTGCGCTCTAACGGGTGACCCGCGAATTTTCGACCGATTACTCGCTCGGCATCGCGACGTAACATCGTGAATGCCGCGGATTCCCATTTTGTCAAATCCGATCGTGATAAGTACGAAATACAGGTGTTTCACGAACTCTCGTCGATTTCTTATTTCCGACTTCGCATTCCGGCGCGGCGTTCCTTCGCCGTGAGAGTGCGAGAAACCTCGCCGTAAGTACTTCCCTGTTATTTCCCTTCGAACGAACGTGAAATAGTTGGCATATCTCGCGGCGCATCATCCGAACGAGCATATATATCCGAGTTAAAGAATTTTTCCGCAATAAGATGCAAACGGGAAAGCCACGAAATCGTCGCTCTTTGTGTTCCCCCTCCGCGCCCCGTGAAGTTCAACCATGCCGGCGGCGGATCTGCAGCGCGAAGGATATATATATATATTCATTTCGACTTTATTAGATTCTGAAGAACACTCCCGGACTCGCGAGAATCTCAAGTATTTTTGGCCACTGCCTTGACATAGCTCTCGACGCCACGTGGCGTGAAGTAGACCACGATATAAATCGCGAAACATAACGATTCTACGCGGCCGGGAGGAATGGGCGTAACGTTTTACTTTCTGGCTTTTACTAAAACTATAATCGTGCAAATTGAAACAATAATGGGAAAGCGGAAGTACATGGAAAAAAAAAGATGAATTGTAAGCTTCTATGTTATCTCGCAATTTGCTATAGTGGCTGTTAATGGCTGTTGCTGTAATCTATATGCTTTTATTTTGATTTTCCACTCGCTATTCCGCAAGTGTCATGCGGAATAAAGGGAAGATTTATTTATGACGACAATAACAATTATAAATGTAACAGCAAGTAGTTTTACAAAAATTGTTGTAACAGACTACTTCTGTTCCTTTACATACTGATTTAACTTGTAACTTGTTAGTTAGACTATCTAGCAGGGTTGGGAAAGTTACTTTGTAAAAACGTAACTATGTAGTTACAGTTACAGTTTTTGTCTTTCAAAAAGTAATTAGTTACTGTTACAAGTTACCGACTTTGAAAAGTAATATGTTACAGTTACAGTTACTCAAAAAGTAACGAATCGTTATAATTTTCAGTTACTTTTAATAGAACAACATTAGCATTATATAAAGAAGATTTACATTTAGATATTATATAATTTTATTTACAAAAGAAAGGTAATGCGCGTATTTAAATATGAGCATTTAAATCAATTTAAATATTTCGCATGATTACAGTCAACATTACGATTAGATGATTGAGCGAAAGTGTTGCATAATTTTAATCCATGAAAGTGACGATTTGATATACATGTATAAAGTAACTGTAAAAGTAACTATTAAATTAGTTACTAGTTATTTAAAAAATCTAACTAAGTTAAGTTACAGTTTCACATGAAGAGAAAGTAACGAAGTTAAGTTACACAGTTATTGAAAAAAAGTAACTGTAATTGTAACTTCGTTACAAATAACGAGTTACTTCCCAACCTTGCTATCTAGGTACAGTTTTCTAATTAAGATATACTTTTACTTAACAAACTGCCATACGAAAACAAAAGAATAATCCTCTTTGTTCGAAACGGCAATGGCAAAAATCTATTTTAATAAAACAAAGTATTATTAAGTCGCCCGAATAAAAGTCATTTTTATACTAACAATAAGTAAATATAAATCTATACTGTTTTACACTTGAGTAAAATCATCACTTAAAAGCTCTTTTTAAAAATAAAAGAAGCTTTCGAATGAAAGATATTATTTAGAAGAATGCTATTCATGTGCGCTTTTCTCATTCGCGAGGGAGGTGCAAGATGGAGTGAAATATTACGCGGGAAGGGAAGGAAATGCATATACCTCTCTTGCGAAGTACATCATGTTTCGCACAACATTTAAAATTAAGCGTCGATACCATCGGATATCCCATTGTAAATATATATATTTTCGAGTGTACAGGTATAGGCGCATCGCGATCATACGCGCGATCATACGCCTGCGCGCGAAGCCGCCCTCGGTCTGCCTCGTAGCCGATTTTCTCGCGTCTCGCAATCAGTCGCCGACAGGACAGGGGAGTAGCGCGTGTACGCAGCCGGCGCCGCGACGCTCCGTGGTGAACGTCGCGCTGGTATCCGAGATGAGAGCGTCGAGCGTGCACGGCAGATCGTCGTCCCGCGATCGCGGTCCCGGCACCCTCGACGACGAGTTGTAAGAATCGTCGCACGACCGAACGGACGCGCCGAGCATCCCGCGGCGATAATCGATCGAGCGTGTGATAGAGTTACACACGTGTGCTCCTCACGCACGTGTGCCGCGATCACACATCCGCGCACGTTCTCTCGCAAAAAGGAGATAAGAGGTAGATAACGGAAATGGATTGATAAGGAAGCCGGAAGCTTCGTGAGGAGAGGTGAATTCCTCGAACAGTCTTGACTCTCTCTCGACGACGGTCGATCAGCGTTCACGCGTATGACAATATCGCTTCCGCGCGCGTCGCCGCGTGAAAGAGATTGGAGACTGAAGCTTTTCGTTCGCGCGGGAAGATCGCGGGAGCGACGATCGCAACGCGTCGTGTGTTCGTCGCGGATGAAACTGCGATAAATTGCGACGAATTACTAGAGAGGAACAATCGTGTAGAGAGAGAGAGAGAGTCCGCTTGTGCGTGTGTTTGTGAGTGTGCGTGTGTGTGCGTGCGTGCGTGAGATATTTTATATTTTTCCGCGTGCGTTTTCATTTCTTCGCTTCGCGGGTCCTCGGAGAACGCGCGAGCGACCGTTCCAGTAGTCACGCCGGCCTACATCTCTCGCGTAATCGCGTCCGCGCGAAAAATCCGCGCGGCGGCGTCGCGACGCTCGTATAGATCCTAAGAATCCTTCATTCTCAACTCGGCAAAATTCGGCGAACCCGTTATCATCGCGCGACGGAAGAAATTGTCGTCCGCTCTCGACTCCGCGGACGACTCTTCAACAGGTGGCCGAAATCGATCTTGCACGTGTACAGGCGTACGTGATCACTTTTTACGAGTGCGCATCGCTGCACTCTCTTCTTTCTGCTTTCTTTCTTTTTGTCGGTCCAATCCTCTCTAAACTTTTAGGCTATAAAAGTGAAAGTTTAAAAATATTGGGAGGAGAGAAGAGAGTTTTAAACTTTATCGAAACGCTTTCAGAGTAAACTCTTCTTATTTACAGTAATGTGATATTTATTTGTAAGAATGTTATAAATATTTGATATCGTTTTAAATTGTTGATTTAAATTTACTTGAAAAATAAAAATTGATCGCATGATGAAGTTGCCATCTAATTTATGAAGTAGATATTTATAGAGATATACAGATAATATAGAAATAATATAGTAATAAAAAAATTCTAAATTCTATGTTCAATAAATCAGCAAGAAATTATTTAATTGTTAAAAAAATTAAAGATGTATATAAAAAACGCAAAATTACGATTATGTATTAATTAAAGGAACTTTAAATAGATATATTTAACTTTGTATTTTTTTAAACAAAGTTAGTGAACTCTTTACTCTTATTTATTGAATTACATGATACAATACAATTTAGCAATTATTAACCAATTTATTAACTCACGCTATATCAATTGCTCGATAATTCGCGTTTAAAGTGGACATTTTAACAAATTCCTCTGTTCTATAAGCCTCTCGTAATTGTTTCTCAATATTCTCCTGGCTGGTTCACAACGAATTCATTAATATCTACCATGGCCGCTAAAATCGGTCCATCAACGAACGGTGTAGCACGTAACACGCTTCCATTAATCTTCGATTAATACGCATCGCGCACCCAGCGAGTGGAAAACCGTTTCCGCCCTGTGTGTAATTTACGACCCTCCAGCCGTGTGTAAATAAATCCCCACGCGTTAGAGCGGCTGTTAAAAAACGTCAGTAAAATCGTCGTATCGCTCCCGTTTGACGAAATTATTCTATAAAAAAGAAGAAAGAGAGCTTTATCGTCGGAATTCATGCGTCTATTTTCGATTTTTAGTAGCGAAACGATCTTGAGAAGTGCTAAACTCTGTCAAGCTTTTTAAATAGCCTCTCTGCATCTCTCTCTCTCTCTCTCTCTCTCTCTCTCCTCACTTTGGAGACTTGTGAAACGCGACGTAGCCACTATTGTCGACCGTCCGAAACTTTTCGGAACGTTTGCTTGACGGCGACGAAGACACCGCCAAAGTTTGCTTGACGGTTTCGCCCACGTCGGCCAGGTCATAATCGGTGCTCCTAATTGCTCTCCCGTGTCTCGTTTCAGCGAGAGGAACCGTCGTTTCCCGAGGTTTTCGAAAGTTCCGTCGCGAAACATGTTAATTGCCTGACTGTCGTCGCCATTCGCCCCCCGTATACCTAAACGCCAAACGAACCGGTGGAATTGACGTTACTATTAATATCGACAAGCATACGATTATATAGCGTATCTCTAAATAATCAAAACAATTCTTGATACGAATGACTCTGGAGGACGATTAGGTGTTTCTACATTGTGAAACGTTGAAGAACAGCGTAAAGATTATACTATAATTTGTGAATTTGTGAAATGTACAACGACGCCTCCGGCGAGTTTTTTATCCCCGCCCAGCTGTCCATACGCAACCCTTTTCTTTAATCAAACATTTATTCACTGCCACCTTGCGAATTAATTAACAAAGAAATTGGTGTTAAACTCATCGCCATTTATTTACGACATTCGCCACTTTCTGCTTCGATGTGAATTCTGCTTGGAAGATCTTATCGTGCGAAAGAAAGACACCCGCAGTTCGGCGATGTTCGACTAAAGAAAACGTGAAGCACGGACTTTAAGAGATCCGATGAGTGTCTCGATATGAAGAGGAGACTGAATATTCGATGCGAGATAACGTTCAATAAAAGCACGGTGCTCCTCTCATTAATCTGTCCTTAAGCTGTCAGAGAATCAAACTTAAATTAAATCGCGCTTATAGGGTTATCTCGGCGGAAGTCGAGCAAGAGTTGCAACGCTTGCACACGCGTCAAGCGTAATCGATGCCCTCAAACAGCCGGCTCTACGAGGACACCGCGACGCGGAACTCAAGCTAATCTGCTTATCTGGTGCTATAACTTGCTTATCTATCAGAAACCCCCGACGCCTGAACGTTCGCCGCGCGGGATAACAGCGGCGCTGTTGACGTTAATGGACGAGGAGCTCCGTGAGAAATTAATTCACGACTCGTGATCGACGACGCCAACGCAGCGAATATACTTCGGGCGGATTCTCTTCCGGACAACTCCCGCCCCGGTTGCATTACCGGATCGGCCTTCCGCCTCGCAGTCGTTCTGGGAGATGATGAACCGTCAGCGAGTCCATCCGCGTATCGCTGACGCATGATCGATTCAACGAAGAGGTAGCGATAAAGGGGGTGAGGAGAAGAGTAGGAGGGAAAGGGGGAAGAGGAGGCGAGTGACACGCGAGTGACCGACTCGCGCTTTTCAAGATGCGCCATGGATAACGATACGACGCAAATAACGTTGGCGATACTGGTCGCGATGCAGAACCTGTCGGCGCACAACTCCAGCTACCTGTCGGAGGACATGATGTCGAATCTGACGGTGCAGATAATATTCTGCATGTTCTACATCATAATCTTCGTCCTGGGCATATTCGGTAACGTGCTGGTGGTCTTCGTCGTCGGGCGGAACCGCCAGATGCACACCGTCACCAATCTCTTCATCACGAATCTCGCGCTCAGCGACGTGCTGCTGTGCGTGCTGGCCGTGCCCTTCACCCCCCTGTACACCTTCATGAGCGGTTGGATCTTCGGCAAGACCCTCTGCCACCTGGTGCCCTACGCCCAGGGCGTCAGCGTGTACATCAGCACGCTCACGTTGACGAGCATAGCCGTCGACCGGTTCCTGGTCATCATCTATCCGTTCCATCCGCGCATGAAGATCAAGATGTGCTTGGCGATCATCGTGGGTATCTGGGTGATCGCGTTACTGGTCACCTTGCCGTACGGGCTCTACATGCAGCTGGACGAAACGTACATCTCCTTGTGCGAGGAGAACTGGCCCAGCGAGCCGTTTCGCAAGGTCTTCAGCTCGCTCACGTCGATACTGCAGTTCGTCGTGCCGTTCTTCGTGATCGCCTTCTGCTACATATGCGTGTCGATCAAGCTGAACGATCGGGCGCGCGCCAAGCCCGGCAGCAAGACCAGCAAGAAGGAGGAGGTGGATCGCGAGAGGAAGCGCCGGACCAACCGGATGCTAATCGCCATGGTCGCCATATTCGGCGTGTCCTGGCTGCCGCTCAATATCGTCAACGTCGTCGACGACTTCTACTCGCACGTCAACGACTGGTCCTACTACAGGCTCTGCTTCTTCATGTCGCACTGCATCGCCATGAGCAGCACCTGCTACAATCCGTTCCTCTACGCCTGGCTCAACGACAACTTCCGCAAGGAATTCAAGCAAGTACGTATGCATTGCATTGAGCTCAATCTTTCGTTTCCTTGAATAACATCGCGAGAGCCAAGTACCATCCATTGAACTTTCTGAAGTTATCGGATAATCTGTTTCGCTGCTTTCCATTCATCCGCGAGATATACACGAGCAAGCAGCGCATTCCTATCGCGGTCGGAAAGAAAATGTATAATATACTTTCCATAAAATCCACTTTCGCAAAACCGTATAGCTACAGAAATGGCGCGTTAAAAATTGAATTTCGCAAAGTTCTCGAAGCACGTGAATTCTCGAAAATATATTTACAAAGCATTGTTCTCAAAGCGTTTTAAACTTCTACTTAAATAAAGAAGCTAGCAATACTTCTATGAAAAAAAGGGTAATATAATACAGATTATTGTAAAGGTATTGGTCTCAGAACTTTATAAATTTTTATTTATACGAAGAAGCTAGGCAATACTTCTAGGAAAAAAAGTAATATTAAAGATTGTTGTATGCAACGTTCGTTCCAGCTTTAAACTTAAAAATGCATCTTTTTTTAGTACTGGTAATATAACTTTAACATCGCGATACGTTCAATGCATTTAGAACTAACCGCATGCAATTTCTAAGAAAAACCGTGATGTGCAAGGATGCACTTTAAGTAATTGGGACAGAATTGTTTACATCTAGAGACTATCGAATGAGCGAGAATCTCGTGTTATGTTCTCAATTGCAACACGTTGAGGGAGAAACCAGCGAGCGGAATTCTATTGCGCCGAAATTAATTTGCAGCGGAGCTGTTTCTTCCCCTCCGGATCTGCATGTTCGCGAAATGATGAAACATGTTCGGGACAACGTGCGCCAGTAAGATAGTCGCGCATAAACGCGATATGCATAAAGGTATCTACGTGTTTTGCCGTGGGTTGCCTATTGAGCGCATTTTGCATCAAATAAGGGTATTCAATAGGATTCAAAGACGCCAGTATATTGGCAATTTCACATAGTCACCAAGGCAGGAATTTATAGTAAAAGGATGGCTCGCGCACTTTTTATTTTTCTCGCGAAAAGACTTTTGGCACTTGCGAATTCATAAAGAAAAAGGTTTATGCGAGATAAGAATGTTTTTTTATTTATCATACTATATTTTCTCGTTTCCTGATGTTCTATTGGAAAGTATGTGTTGGATTTTGTATTGCGCTTCGTTTCTATTATTTCTTCTCCAAATATATTTTCATTGTATTCTCTTATCATTTATTTTTCTCTTTATATATATATTGTTAAATAAAGAGGAACGTGAAAAGAAAAATAATACCACTTGATGTGATCTATTGAAATCTATTGTAATAACATTAGGACATCTTTTATAAACTTTTAGTAATTAAAAAGAATTTAAAAAATGACTAGAGAATTTGAGTTTGCGACGTTATCTCGCTTATGAAGAATGCTTTGATATTAATGAGAGTTGAGTCTCGCACGAAAGTCAAGCATTTCTCTTCGCGCTCGTCAAGTTTGATTAATTTTTCTCGACCTGCATTGAATTAATTTTTAATTATCCACCACATCTGCTACGACTTGATCACGTCCTTTCGTCAATTTCCGACCTTAAGTTTCGCAATAATAAAATGTGCTTGACGATTGTCCCGTAACGGCTCGGAACGTTCTCATAAACTGGAATTACGGAATCGATTAATAATTTCGTCTGGGTATAAAATTAATTTTACACGCACCTCTCCTTGGAGGATACCGCTGATTAATCGATATCATGTAAAATCAAATATCTCTCGATTAAACACACACACACATATATATATACATATATATCGAGAAGATGAGATCAAAGTTTTAAATTAATGAAATTAATAAGAAAAAAATTAAGCTAATTTTTAAGATATTTTATTATGCTCATAAGGCTTTCACGGCTATTCTCTTAAGAGGTTTATGGGTCTCCTTCGTGTCTTGATCCATTGTTAATGCCGTTTCGTGATTAATGCTGTTTACATCATCAGGGCGAGAAGCAATCTGATACTAATATCAAATAGCTTACTGATGAAGTGAACAGCATTGTTGATGAAACGTTGACATTAACAATGGATGAAAGACACATAGAGAACTCGTATACCTTTAGCACTTTTGTGTAGATATTATTTTTATTACTTATGAATATATAATCTGCCTGATTAAATGATATATGTAGAGATGATCGAATATTAAGTCGAAATATATGAGTATATGTTAATCAAAATAATTGTAAATTAGCTTAGATAAGTCCAATTTGGCATAAGTCATAACAAATCACGTTTCAGGAAAAATGCATAACGTATATCTGTTAAAAGCTGAAATCTCGTGCTATCGAGCGAAACCATCGATAGAAAAATATGGAATAAAAAATTCGCGCTACATCACATGTTCATAGATCCTGCCGTGTTATTCAAGAAACTCCAACAGCAGCACTCCGAGGACCAAGGAGAGCTGTAGGGGCGAGAAGATATGTAACGGTAATAACACCATGCAAGAGACCTTGCTGCCCAGTAACACGAAAGCGCAGAATCCCGAGGGATGCGAGATGATCATTCTGGAGCAGACGACGAACATTTCGAAGGATCTGGATCAGCCCTCGAGCTCCTCGAAGGATTTCGACGACGCTGCTCTGTGAGGGAAAGCACGAAAGGTACGCAAATAAGTTTTGTTACGTAAAGCTGTTGGAAATGTTAGACGAGATAAACGTCAACTACCACAATGGAGATGCCGCGGCAGAGGAGAGTGACTCGATCATTCACTGTCAAGACGGTGACAGTGTATTTTTGCAATTTGGATACCGGCCAAGTTTGTTCCTTGCCAAATTTCTTTCCATTCTCTCTAAACCGCCACGTTATGGCGCTCAGATTAAAAATCACTTTCCCCTTGCACAGCGATAATAAAAGTTATCTTCTTATAAATATAGCTCTCTATATATTCACGTTCAGTATATCAAAAAATGTACGAGGTGCACTGTAAGTTGTAAGGTCTTCTAGTTCTTTTTTTCTCAGAAAATTAAGAAAGTAAGTAGAAACGTGAACGACGTTTTAAAAGATAGAAGTACGCGGACATTTGTTGAAGATGAGAAAATTGAGAATATCGTCCGGCTTAAAGCGCTCGTGGCTAATGTTGAAAGCGTTAGATACTGAAGCGTTTTAGATACTGAAAATGACGATAATCCCAAAACAACGCGCTATCATCCAGTTTGCTCCATTTACGCTCTAAGATGACGCTCATCGACATTCACTCAACTGATGAATGTCGATGGGCGAGTGAAAAATGTGGAGAAGACGTTCCGGACGTGAAAAATGTGTGTTCGTGGATGCGACGACAGTTTAGAAAGCCGAGATTCATTTATATACGATTGTTGGATTTCAGTATCATGAAGTATTTTCAACTTCAGTCAGCACCATGAGCATTCTATGAACCGAACGAATGTTGCAATTTTTTTCTACTCATTCGCAACGAATGCCCGCGTCTGTTAAAACGTCATGTTTCTATCTGCTCCAATTCCTGAGAAAAAATTAGGAGAAATCTTACAACTTAAATGTACCTCGTACATAAGCGAATGTTTAAAAGCATAAATGTTAAAGGTATTCCAAGCAGAACAAAAAGTCATTGTCAACATGGAATTTAAAATGATTAAAAGGATTAAAAGTCACTTTTCGATCAGTCATGATTCATTTTAACGTCATTTTGACATTACTGTGTTCGTTGCTATGCTTGGATTCTTTTATATCCCATTTTATATTCTCACTTTGTGTTTCTCGCGCGACTTTGACGCATCAGTTTTTTGTCGCTACTTTTTCGGATGTGACAGTCGACCGTTCTAATGTCGCCCCCTGTTTGCCATTGAGAAAATAAAATTTCTCGATGTGTCTCTCGCCCTTTGAACCTCGCCCGCAGGACGCCTCGTTCGTCTAAGAAACTCGATTTTTCTATATCTCTCGGTGAGGTGCTTTGATTTCGCAAGAACGTTCATCTTCGTTGCTCTTTCCCAGTTTCCTTCGTACGCGTACTTTGCGGGATTCCGTGGGCGGAACGACAAATGCCAACTGGCTAACACAGTGCACGTACATACGCCGCGCACATATGTATAGCGGACACACTGAAGAAAGGAATCCCGAGCTTTACGAGATTCGCGAGAGTGAGGAAAGCGCCGTTCGAATGCTCGTGCGCGATTTCCATCTACGGTCCGAGTTATACGATCGGGAAAACAAAACGAAACACGCGGCGATTCGCGGAATGCCCGAAGTCTGCGGGGACGTGCTCTCTCGCGGCGGAGAAATTTTTTGGTAGTTGACACCGCAATTGTTGCGAAAATTCCATCCGCCCACATTTAGTCGCAGTCGTACGTTTGCGCATTTCCCGCTGATGCGGCGGTAAAGCACGTTCGCCCCAAACATCTAGATCGACTTACATAACGACCGCTATACGAAGAGTTACCGTTTCCATCCTAGCTCCGTCTCTCGCCGATCGCGATGCGCGAGTCGGAACGAAATAGGACATGCGTCGAGAGAAAATTGCTATACATAGATATCCCTCGTCTGTTTATACGAGTCTGGCTATACGATTGTGTAAGTAGGAAACTTCGATTAGAACAAGATCGATTGATTACCCCCGGGTGAGTAAATATTCCACGCTTGTGTAAAGTCCACTTTAGAAGGTTTGTAAATCGTAGAATGCTATTTATAATTTAAGGTGCGCGCGACTACAATATACGTGAAACATTTTAGGGAAATTGAAATGCGCACACATGCACACAGGTATATACCTATACGTCGAAATATACGCATATATAAATACATACGTGGCGCACTGTATGAAATCATATAAATCAAATTCTAACGTAAATTCTGACGAAATTTGGAGCTTTGAAATACTTTGGGATTAAAAATTGCGACAGATTTTTACAAAATATGTTAAAATAAAATTTGGAAGATAATAATTAAGATAACAAATGTAGCTAAAATTTGATCATTAATTAATTTAATTATTAATCATCTCGGCGTTTACGTTCTCTCAGGTTTTTATACAAGTTCATAAATGAATTAACTTCTATACTTGTAAAAGCGGTGTATTTCCTCTTTGTCTTTAATTAGTAAACTAAGTAACGTGTGCGCTAAAACAAATGCCTCCTTTTCCCGATAAGACATTTCGAAAAGTGGATTTCTGAGATTCGTATTTTTAGCGCTCGCACAATCTCCGTTGTATCAGACCCTTGATTACAATATACAAACATGCCCTTTATATCTCGCCGATCGTCGGCCCACCGTCGTCGCTGGGGAAATACGAAGAGGTAGAGGCGAATAAAAAGTTCCGCAGAGAATCCCGCGTCGTCGCGTTTGCAAGATATTTTAGCGTCAACGTAACAATACATGCCATGATCCTGGTCGGGCGTGATTCTCCGAGCGTAAAAGAGGAGAGAAAACAGGAAGAGAAGTTCGGTAACTTCAATGCAAACGGCCTCCGCAGAGCCGGAAATGACGGCTCAAAAGTTTTGCAGGAAGGCGGGATCGGATCTTCGTCGAGATACTTCCATATATTAAATCTCGAAGAATTCGCGATAGCTCATCCACGCAGGTCGGGCGCTCGCTCCTGTTTAAAAGCCAAGTGCAAGTTAAACTTCGAACGGGTAAAGCCCTGAACGGTGATATTGAATCGTCCTTTTATAGCGTCATGTGACGCGAAATGGCTTATGTAATATTCCGTCATATACGGCACCGCATCCCTTCGATAGCTTGTTCTGTAGGTATATTGAGTTACGCTCGATTTTGCATCCCGTAAATATCGTGGGTGGAATAAAAAAAATTACACAAGATAACGTCCGTCTGCAAGAATTGACGTTTATCGGGAAAAATGAATCAATTGTACAGATAATAATTAATCGTAGTCAAGAAGACACGTGATGGATGATATACCTAATTTAAAAACCAAATAAACATATTTGAAATATATACATAATTTAAATAAAGTGGATTTTATTTTTATGACCGACTGCTGCCAATCGAAAGTTGGCAAAAAACGGAGGGCATTCTTCTGCTCAAGCTTGGTTTTTACTTAAGCTGATAAAATTGTAAATTTTGAAAGTTTTCCATTATAAATAATTGCGTAAAATTCGACTTATTTCTTAAAATGTTTTAAGAATCTTACAATTTCGTACCAATTAAATTGTTTTAAGCTTCGGAGGAGCAAGTAAAAATTAATTACGAAATATCTTAAAGAATGTTTTAATAATTTGTTTTAAATCGTTTTCTAATTAAGAAATTAAGATTTTCGGAATGTATAAGAGTACTTATCGGAATGTATAAGAGTACTTATAAGATACTTATCTATAAGTATCTACTTATCTAAGTAATTAATCTAAAGCTCTCTTTTTCTCGCTATGGAAGTTAACCTCTCACAATAAGAATACTGTTCACAATAAGAATCTATTACCAAGAAATTTATAGTCTATTCAGTCTATTGCAGCAATCATAAACCCATCTGTAGATATATTGGTCTTGAAATAGAATCAATAGCGAAACAGGTAAAACAGCGATAAACATAATTTTACGAGTCGATTTATAAAGGTAATATAGTAAGAATGTTCTTTCTGTTTTCATCCAGAAATGTAGATAGAATACATAACGATATAGCAATAACCGCGCATAAGCTCGACATGAATATTGTAAGACGAGAGATAGATCAATTAGAAGTTACAGTCGTTGGTTATCCTCTTGAATATTAAACAGATCGATCGATTGCTACACAACACCGATGTTGTATTCCAATCAAGTTGCTATCAAACTGATTAGATTGTTTAAGATGATTACATAGTGTGTTCTATAAGTTCTATTATACAGCGGACCCGAGGACACTGACTGGTACGTTTTAAAAGCTGTAATTATCCGATCTCGAGATTAGGTGCATTCATGTGTTACCCTATTCGTAAATAGCCGAATCAGAGGAAAATATAAACGGGAAGCACATGTGGAAATCAGTAATTCAGATGGAAGAATATGTTTGTCCTGCAGAGTGTAACTACGGCCTTTGAGCAACTCTAATTAGCGAGCTCTTGCTTCAGATTCGAGGGGCTATCATCTTCCCTGCCAATCTGTTATCCCCTGATATTATCCCCGGCGACTAAACTTTAAATTAAAAATCTTATAAACTAATTTTATGTTAAATTTTCTTCGATTCCCATTTTCTTCGATACATTTCATAAATAACGACGTGAAGGCCGGTGTATAAGAGAGAAAAGGTGCAGGAATTGTCATGTCAGACAATTGATTGTCGTTAAACCAGATGCTTCTTCATATGCCAAGCGCGTATAAAGAATGTAGGCTTCACGGGGCGTACCGCTTTCCTGTCGATTCACGTCTCTACGCTGCAATTCGAGCCGTACGATCTGTCCCAACAAATTCCCATTATCGAATAGGAATACGGCAAAGTCGAGGGAGACGTTGGAACTTCGTAATGAAGCCTGGCTGAGTATTATTGAAGTTTTTCCCAAAGGGATTCGCAGACGTCTTTTGAATACAAGGCGATTACAAGAGAATGATGAACTTTTTATTGGCAGAATTGGCATTAAACAATAAGCGTCCGATAGAAACGATATTCTTAATAGGAGAATAATGAGACTGGCAATGAACGGTAGCGAAGTGAACTTCC